GGTACGAGCCATAGCTAACAAGATTGGACGCTTCAGTCTCGTAATCTTCCGAAATTTTACGCTTTTCTCGCGATCCGTGATCCGATCCGTGATCTGGTATGTGGTCCGTTCCGTGATCCGATCCGGTCCGATCCAGATTTTGTCGACGCTGTATTTATAGTCTTTATAATTGAGACACAAAAACTCCACCTACAGGAGGACCAACAGAAAAGTTATCCTGTTACATATTTAAATTCTTCAGCCAATCGCACAACAGCTGAGGTCGTATCTCAAAGATGCAACAGACTTCATCAAGTCTCTGAAAAAAAAAAGCTTCCGAAAGAAGTGATCGATACTCATTTCAATGGGCATTTTGAGCTTATACACAAATATATCCCCCTCACCTCCATTCCAAAGTGTTTACTAGAGAAAGCCATGGCACCAAATGGCATTAGCTATTGTAAATATCCTTATGGCTAAAATAAAAATCCTACATAAAGGCGCTAACAAACAGTTCGTTTGGAAACGCTACATTGACGACATAATCTCTCTATTGCACACCTGCAAAGATGTTGTTCATTAAACAAGCAAATGAACACCACCCAACAAAAAATTTACGGCTGAAATATCTGTTTCAGAAGCTACTTTTTAAGACACCATTATCTATAAGGATAAAAGATTCAACAGGGAGTCAGTTCTCGACATCAGAATCCATTTCAAACCAACAGAGGCATTCCAGTACACGTATTACACAACATGTCATCCACCAGGAGCAAAGAAAGGCTTTAAAAAAAAAAGATTTTAAAGAAACATTAGACAATTCAAAACACATCTGGCAGAGAGAGGCTACCCAAATTTTTTGTTGACAGCCCACTCTCGGAAGCGAAATTTGAAGGACGTAAACAGCTCTTCCTCCAACAGGGAAAAGAAAATAATAGAATCTTGCCCTTTGTAACGCAATACTACCGAACAGTTCCAAACCCCAAAGAAATCCTTATGAGCAAAATAAGTGGCATTTAATACGGCAACAACTATCACTAAGAGAAATCTTCAAAGAACCGCCCATAATGTCATACAGAAAGGGGCATACTCAAAGACATACTCGTTAGGGCAAAATTATGACAAAGGGGAGAAAACTGGAAATAATTTGGAGCCAAGTAAACATATGTAACAAATACAGAGAAGACTGGACATAATACGGAGTTATTTAGACCTATCAACTCCAATTTTCATGGGTGCATTTGTTAAGCCTGTTTCAAAATCAAATAAATACTTTTTAATGTCCCTGAGGTCGTATGACTATCAACTTTAGGTGAGTCACGATCCTGACAACACCCATCCTATCTCCTATCTTGCCTTCAGAATAGAGCATATCCTCGTCTCGCCTTCCTACTTTCATCTTGCATCCCGGAATAAAAAATGTCTCGTATTCTTATGAGTAAATTAAAGTAATTTAAAGACTCGTCCTGCATCCAGCCAAACCTATGTTGGACCCCATAGTCGAGTAGAGACCATTCCTCTTCATAAAGTTGCCAATTTGAAGAAATACAACTCCTTCAGTTACTTTTGATACAGTTGAAAGATTACCTACAGGCTAGTAATTCTGAACACAAGTTCAAGATCCGTTTTCTTAAGGATTAGCAAACATAGAGCTTCTTCCCTTGGTCAAGGAAAATAACCACTTTCAAGTAAAGGAGTGATTATAGTAATAGTTATAACTGGTAGAATGACATCAATACATTTAACAACTAGAGTCCTCGAATGGTGCCGGACCTGAAAGCCATTTATGATCACCAGTTAGGACAGTACCATGCACTCTCCAAAGCAAAGTATTTCTCTACATCCAGGCTCCTGTAATGCTATACCTGTATGTTGATTGTGAGTGAACTTAAGAGTAGACTCTTGAAGTTGTTTGTGTCATCCTCACTGCTCAACTCCTGTTCTAAGAATGCTCCTTTAAGAGAGTCGAGTGAATGTTCCTTGAATGGCAAGACTGATTTCATACTGATTTTCACGTAATCGTAGCCTCAAGAAGCTGTACTTTAATATTTTTCATGTGTTGTATTTATTTTACCATCAAGATAAGACTAGGTAATGGTTATTCGTACGTAAAAACATAAATCAAAATACAATAAAATATAACAATCAAGATAAGACTAGGTAATGGTTATTCGTACGTAAAAACATAAATCAAAATACAATAAAATATAATAATGGGGGAAAAAATTAAAGAGTTGATTCCATCACTATTTGGGTTTTTTTGGCTCAAGACTGGATGGAGTAAACGTAATGCTGTAGATATAAGTATTCTTTCTTACAAACAAAAATCAAAATAGCAACTTTAAAGTATTCTCATATTGATGAAGTAAAATTATACAACCTCCACAACCAAAACTAAAACTATTTAGTGTTTACCTTTCTGTTTATCTGTACACAGTCGTAGTGACCAAGGTGTCCTTCTTTCCCAGAAATATACACCTGATAGCCCCATAAATCACCAAAACCTAACAAATCACCATAACAAAGAGCACGTCAATAACAAAATAACCTTGAGCTAACTTCTATAGAAGATAATGAAAATAAGGCATTTTTGATAAAGTTTGTTTTGTTTTGTCACATTATTACTTTGAGTGAAATAAATTTACTAATGGATAAGAGATGGTCAAGTTTTAAAAAGAGATAATTTTTCAGTCCTAATTCTAATCCGGTCTTGAGATAAATAATATTATACATGTCAGTTAAACTGATTGTCTTATATAACATTTTCTCAAACAAGGCCATAATAAGTGAGTGACTACCAAAAAGAGCTTGAGGAAAAAACAAAAGGACACAACAGAAGTTAACTGATAAAGCTTAAAACAAGGTATTGATGATAGGTACAGAGCTAAAATATTTCTTTTTCTTTTCTCATGACATGAGAAGACCACTCCAGAGGTATTACAAACAAAGCACACACATTTAACATCAGAGGTATTACAAAGGTATTACAAAGGAAGCACACACATTTAACATCAGGACAAACTGAGTTGTAATGGCTGAACATTTAGTGACTTTCGATATGTACTGTGAACTTCCAATGAGGAAGTCTGCAACAAAATTGTAATACTTAGTTGTTTTCAGGGCTCTTTTCTATTGACAATCCGACTAGTGGTAGAGTGAGTTTCCCTTGGTGATCCATGAGCCACAAAAGTGTCTGTGATAGGCTCCTTTGACTGCAGTGAAAATGGTTGGTTATTTTTTCAAGTGTTGTTTTATGATGTCTTCATGTTATTGAGATATGATGAATTGCTGATTAAAGAAACTTGTCTCCAAACATTCACTTCTTTCTTGTATATAAACCATGTGAAAAAAATATGGATTAAGTTTTAATTTGGTGACTGAACGAGACATCAGAGAAACTGGATTGGGTTACAGTTACAGTGTACATATATGTCCAAAAGGTTTGTCTTTGAGGTCTTCTATTGCTCCCTTTATCTCAGGGATTTTTCTCTGGTTCTTGCTAGTAGTATAGCTAATCTCAATGGTACAATAAATAACCCTTCATTTCTGGAGAAGTTGATTGTCCTATTTGCAAGCAATGGTTACACTCAGGTCTTGTTCCCTCATGAGGAGAGACAAACTATCTTGATGGCTGAAACTACAACAAAAAAAGTGCCATGCCTTTTTCTTCCCTCTACTTGCCAAGGAACTGGCCCAGTCACAGCCTGTGACTGTGTGGAATCCAAGGAGAGTGCTGCATAACTTATCACCCAAGGCATGGGTATCATGCACTGGAATAAAACAGCATTTATCGTTCACTTTGGTGTGAAACCACAGTTCCGGCCAGTCCAAGCTTCTAAAAAATCAATGGCGGAAATAAAACATGCTGAATTATATCATTCAAGTCATGCCTTTTTTTTTTTTTTTTTGGCATTGCCTTGGAACTGGATTGGCAGTAACTCTGATTTGCACTTTTGAGGCCAATGGATGCTTTATTTTCCTTTACTGAAACTCACCCCCTTTAATGGAATTCACTCAGCATTGCTCAAAGATCATGTGGACTTGCAGACAGTTGTTAGAAAAGAGCAGGGCACTGAAGATGTTGAAATCTTCTTCGGATAACTCACCAAAGGTATTTACTACAGAAGATTTTGTCATCTGTAGGACTGCTATGCTGTGGATAATAACAACTTTTGGATTTGTTGATGCAGTAAGTTGTTGAACTACTTTTACCCCTTTTCTGAGACTTCCATCATGGTTAGCGAGTGAATATGCAACTAAAGACAGTTCAAAGCTCAGCTCAGCCTGCCAAACAAGTCCCTGTTGGGGTTAACAGTAATTAGCTCATTAGCAGATTTGACTCCAATCTTCTTATTTACTTTGCTGGACGTTTGGATCTTGATGTTTGGAATCGGTTCCCAGAAACCCACAGAACTAATATTGATTCACTTGTCAACAAGGTTATTCATCTGCTGCTGGCCTATCTAGATACTGCAGATAAGGTTTTGGGCCACATCGTCTGGCAGAACAACTCCAGTGGTGATGAGAAGGAGTATGTCCAAATCAAAGGATCAGTCAAGAGACCTACAGAAAAGCAGCCCATCATCTTCTCGATGTCTCCCTCATGTTAGTTAATTCTTATCAGAACTGCTTCCTTTTGTGTTGTATGAGAACCATCTTGGAGCCCATACAGGACTTTTAAAGCAGAAGTAATAGATGAAAAATCATTCAAGAGCTGATGGACTATGCAATATGGGGATCACTACTCCTTTTAAGTTGGAGTCAATGTTGATCAACAGCTCAAGGGCAATATCGGTGGAAACTTGTGAAAAGGGCTGTCCTGCACAATTTATGGAATGATTTCCTGCATTAAAATCGTCATAGACATCTAGGTGTGTTAGTTCCAGTTGCTGCATGTTGGTGAGATAAACAGGTAAGTAGGGAATGTACTTCTGCCTGTCCCTGGCAATGAAGTAAGTTACCATTGCTACAATGCTAAATAGGTGTAGCTTCCAGTTCCCAGTTCTTTCTACCTTAAGAAACCGTAAAAGAGAAGTAACAATGGAACTGTACTCAACCCAGAAAGTGAAGAGCTTGGACCTTGGTTTATTGCTTTATTCTCTGATTTGAATAACTTGAAAAGAGAGATCAACTCAGTCAAATCTGCTTTTATCATTCCCAAGCTATTGTGAGCATTCTGCCCCCCCTGTTCTCCACTGCTTGAATGCAATCTCCAATCTTGAGTAATATGGGTTCTCCTGGGATCTTCCTACCTGAGACATATACCAGACCACAAATGTATTCCACAGGAGATGCAAGAATACCTCTAGATGAAGCTTGAGTGATCTAATTCCTTGGTTGTAAGATTTTCCCTTCAGCAGAGCAGCTGTGGAACCAGCAGTGTATATGCCTGATTAAATCAATAGTACTTAAAGTCCAGAATCCACATACTTTTTCCCTAGCAGGGAGGGAAAATTGAAAGCAACATGAAATCTGCCCATTTTTACAGTAGCATTAGAACATTCCTCAGGAGTTCTCCATTGAATTTCCTTTGCCTTCTTAAATATCCCAAGGTTACAGGTTATAACAGTGTCACTCGTCCCATAGCAGCTCATATCTTCTGTTCTTCTTAAAAACTAAAATCCATTAAAAATTACAAGGATAAAATGGTATAAAAAATAGGCCTGCTAGTAAAATCATGTAAAAACTAAAGTGGCTTCAAAATTACAGATATGATAAGAATAGAATACTATTTATAATCTACAGACATCAGGGGAACTCTAATTCAAAATAATGGTCTTACACAGACACTTGAAATGTCAACAGCTGGGGCTTTTTAAATATATGTCGAAAGCGAGTTCCAATTTTTGGGGCAGCCATGCTAAAAGAGAGATTGCCTAGTGTAGTATTAGACCTGCACAATGGGTATCACCTTTTGTACACTGCATTCTTCAGCAGCTAGCCAAAACTCAGAAGTTGTATGTCAAAGAGTACATCGACAGACAAACTTAATCAATTCGTAGAAAGGATGTAAGTCCTACAAAGTGCAGTTTTAATCTCTACCAATGCAACCAGCATATACACGAATATTCTGCAGGAGGCATAAGTACTAAAACATGGAACAACCTAGAACCACCTAAAACCACCTACAACCACCTCAAAAATTTCAACAACCACCTACAACCACCTCAAAAACATATACAGCCACTCACAAACTATCTAAAACTATCCAAAACAATGCGTAAATGTCTAAAATAAGGCGAGATGACAACATGTCACATACATGAAATATGAGAATCAAACAAAACCTTCACCCCCCTCTGAAATCTTACTCTCCCTGGTCCTATGTATAATCAGCCATCTCACGAAATGAAATGCAAGAGAAGCCTTTAATTTTACATGGGAGAAGCCTCAATGTCAAAAACAAGCTATGAAGAGAACATCGGACACCCCAAGTCATGACTACATTAAAGGAGCTATTCAAATGATCTAGTTGAAAGAATCCTCACAGAGGTTGATTTCACTAAAAGGAAAACAACACTCCTGGAGGAAAACAAACCATAACTATATTGCTAACTGCATTGCCTTTTGTAACACAAAATAACCAATCAGTGACCAGCGTTAAAAAGATTTTTATTGGCAACTGGCAAATTATTGAGAAGCAGCCTAAACTTCAGGAGGTTTACAAAGGGCTTCCAACGTTTTCTATCAAAGGGGGAAAATCATTTATGGCTATTCCTCAGTATTTCACTACGCATCCCGTATTGCACATAAAAATCATGTAACCAAGCTAATAAGTGCCCACATACAGAGATAACCGTATTGCTTTTCAATCAATGGACCAGGCCCTGTTATTCGAAGCAAATAACGCAACAAAAAACAGATAAATAGATAAATTGCTATTCAATGGATGGCATTACTAATAAAATAAGTAAAATATAAAATAAGTATGCTTTGTTAAGACTTATCTGCTGGGTTGCAATTTATCTGTTGGATAGTGTCATTTACCCTTTGAACAACTAGACCCAAATAATGAGGTTTAATGGTCTTCAGCTCTCGAATAAGCACCATGACCAATAGTTTTTAATGCATAATTTTTGTGCACAAATTGCCCCTTGTAAATTGGAGAAATGAAAAAAATTTATTGAAGGGAAAAAAATTTATAGCTAAAAGCATGCATGATTTAGCCTGTTACTTGAGGATACAAATTATGACCTTGAATGCAGTGACTCAAGGAACATTTTGAGTAAACGTTTTTTCACAAATTATATTTTGAATTGTTCCATATGCTTGAGACATTAACAATAATAATAATAATTATAATAATAATAATAATAATAAGAAGAAGATGAATACAAACTGCCCTAAATGTCTAACAGTAATTCCAACTAAGATACATGTACATGTTGGCTGAAATTATTTCCAAAACATATCCAGATATTTTGCATATCAACTTCATTTGTCTGACATTTGAACAAAAGGACAAAACAAGCCTTAACCATCACATCCAATTCACAATAAGTTCGATCTGTTTACAACAACGGCAGTAGATGCAATGAACTGCCTCAAATGTCTCACGGCAATTCTTACTAAGAGACTCGTATTTATGTCTATGGAAATACCAAATTCAAATCATGAGCAACTAACCTGTATTGGGTGCTGTCCAGTTAACTTGAATGATGGGTATTCCATTATAAAGATGATAAGCGCCTTGAACATTCAATGATTTTCCTGGGAACGATAAGCAATTTGGGTGGGACTGCCTACTGAATGGCACACAAGATGTGACTGTCAAAGAGAAGGATCACACTGCAATCATATTTATCTTTGCAGTTTTCAAAGTATGTTTGCTTTAGTCTGTCTCATATTACAAATTTTCGGCAAAGAGTAATGTGTCATAGAACTATTATGTTTGATATATTTCATGACAACTCCTAGTTCTGTGCTTAGAACTTAAGATTCAACACATCTTGACTATACTAAATCATATAAAGATGCAGTTTGCAACAACGCACAAGATTGGATACTTCATAATCTTAAAAATTCTCCTTCCTTATCAGTCTTGGAAATTTCTAAAATTTCTGCATTTCCTGATCAATTGTATCATCAGCAGTTGTATCTCAGCACATGTGCCTAAAGGAAGCTTGTGTGTGAAGTAGTAAATCTAGGGTTGCACTCAAAATGAATGTCCATGCTCCTTTAATCATAACCAAATTCGTAAAGTATAGAGCCTTTTTGTCTTGTTTTGCTTGTGCACGGTTAATACTATTGGCTGACAGTGGCAAAGTTGTGCTCTTAAGTTTCATTTACTGCCACAATTTCAGGTACTATAAATTTCTTATTAATAACATTAAATAATGCAAATTCGAAATAAAGTGAACACTTTTCTACAAAGTAATACAGATTTTCAAACTCAGTGTCAAAAATATATTTTTTGCTCAATCTTTCATTATTGCAGTCCATGGCCAATATCATTTTGTTACTTGTATTATGTATATTGATAAAAAATTAAAAATTTAATGATAAAACAATTTAAAAAGTTTTGTAAATCACCTATCGTATTTACTTGCCAATAGGCTGCATTTTTTTAATTGAAAAAATGGGACAAAAGTTTAAAGGGTAAGTCCTATACAAGGGTACAAGCATTTTGACACCTCATATATATGCAGGATAGCTTAAAGTTTCATCCTTCAAATTGTAGTGTTTGTGTTGCAACATGATAATCTTTGTTTTTATAGTTTTCTACTATGATTATTTGATAATGAACCTCTACATCTCCGGCCCTAAAATATACCTTGAGATATATTTTTGTGACTGCAGGTTTTCTTTTTCCTTTTTGTACTGAGTCAAATTTTAAAAGAAACACAACTATCCTCATCCATTGAAGTGTTCAAAACAAGGTTATACCAATATATCTAGCTGCTTATGTTGACATAGGATAATTAAATTAAATCAATTAACCAATGACCTTTCAATGTTTCTATGGTTCGTGTTGCACACCAGATTGGAAACAATCAAAATTATTCAAAATAGTATTGGGTTTGTGCCTAAACTCCAACTTTCTTGTTCAGTTATGCTTACAATAAACTGAAAATAAAAGTTTTGACATGAAAATTCCCATGTTTAAGATGAGGAGCACTTAATACAACAAAAGTAAATCTGGAGATGTCTTCATTCTTATTTTGTGAAATTCTAGAAAGACACTTCAGGGCATAGTTCCATTACTTGTTTCCTTGTTACTCCTTTATTTATTTATCACTTCATTAGCCCAATTAGTAACACTCCAATCATAGAGGGAAGCCCAAGTGAAGGTCAGTGCTATACCTCTTGCTCATTTTACTCTATGCCAGCTTTTTAAATTTTATGACCTATCTTTGGTTTGAGTTTTGATTACGTTTTACTAATTATTCTTTTCCACCAAAATTAATCAAAAGTTAGAGGTGCAGCCGATATGCAGGTGTGGTCTATCCGCAGTTAAATATACTATTTTGTGGATGATAATCATATTTTCATTGATTATCATATGTTTAAACTATACTTGCTATTGCAAATAATGTAAACAACAACACTTTGTTACCTATTTCATGAAACGGCCATCCACAGTGTTTCAGAGAAGAATCTGCCACTAGAAAAAATTGATCATAGTTAGTAATGGAAAGCATTCAATTAGATCTTTGGGACCTTTACTGTGGTCTAAGCCAACATCAAGGCAACCCAATTCAGACACTAGTTGGCTCTATGAAGTCCATTAGAAAATTAAAATCTGAAGTCACTGGTTAGTAATGTTGTCAAATTGTGTTTTATGCAACTCTTAATTGTAATACATTTGGTAAATAGCTATCATTTGTACAAATTTGAATATAGTATGTTTTTGTATTTTTTTTAAGATGCATCAGAGAGTTGGAAGACTGACACAGGATACAACCTCAAAGGGCGCATCATCATCAAGAGGGCAAATACCTACATAATTATATAGAAAACTCATCCCACTACAACCTATGCTTATCATAGAGGCTATGCATCTTAAGCACCCACAATGCCAACTTGCTGAACAAGAAATCCAAACTGCTCAGCAAATGTTGCCATGAGAACAACTTCTTGCTTAACCAGCAACAGAAGTTGCAGTTCCAACTGTTATAGAATTAAAATTTTGAAACTTTACATTAGATTCTGTTTAAATTGGAAAACTTCTGTCAATTGATTGCTTACTGCATTAAACTTGAGTTACAACTCTCCATTCTTAAAATGTATAGTTTTACAATATCATTGTTGTCAGCCTTCGCTGGTCTGATGACCATGTGATGACCATGGAAGAGAAACCTAATTGTTTGCTGTACTGGAGCAGCACTGCCTGCAAGTGACTGAAGAGGCTGATGCCTAAATGGCAGCCTCTGTCACAAAAATTGTACTTGTGGATCGTCTCTGTGCTATTGGAAATGCAGCATTCTTTCCTGTGGGTCCCATTCTCTTCCCCTGCACTGATTAGTCTTACTTCTACTGAATTCAGTTGTTATATATGTATGTAATGTATGTATGTATGTATGCATGTATGTATGTATGTATACAATCAATTGCAGAAATGTTATATTGCAGATGGTCTCCATTCATTCACTACATGCAACACTTTTTAGGTGTTGTTTTTAGTGTTTTTGCAATCAAATGCTATATAAATGTAGCTGTTGTTTGAATATTGCAATTAAAATATAAACACAAACATGCGTATATGTAGCATGCACGAGTTATTTTTTTAGCTGGGTGGGTTAAGATGGGACATTTTGTGTACCTAATGTTTTCATTTTTGTTATAGAAAAAGAGCATGACTTTCAAAAGAATGAAAATATGGCATTACTTCACCCTAGGAGAAAGACAAAAAAAACCTATTTTATCTGAACTCACACAGGTATTTTGTGGTCTATTGTCCCTATTGCCTAAATACCTCTAAGCAAAAATAAAATGCATTGTCTCCTTTGCAGCCGTTGTTTGTTCTCGATACACAATGCCCTCTATTCCCAGTTGGAGAGAGAGCATTGTATGACGAGCCCAAATAACAGTTGTGAAAGAACCTACACTTACTGCGATTCCTCTAACAAAGAGAATATCAAAATTATTTGTCTACAGTTGGTTACCCCAAAAATATAACTCCATGCCATTTTACTACAAAAACAAACTGAAACTTTGTCGTATCTCCAATAGACCCTAACCAAAGATATTGCGATCTCGAATAAGTGAGGATCCATTGAACAAGAGAAAAGGATAATATTTCAAAGAGGGCTCCCTCATTAGTTATTCCCTGTCTGGACTTTGCCCCCTGTGTGAAATAGGTGATAAAACGCAGGTTGCTTACAAGGGATTAACACAGGATGGGGTTAAGTCCAAGGTAGCTAAAAGTAAATTTTATTCATAGAAAAGTCAGAATGCAGGAAAATCGCTAGGAAAATTAAATATTAGTAGCATTTAGTTCCACGTGTTTTTAACTTAAAAATGATAAAAAAAATTAAATGTAAACCTTTCAAATCCCGATAAATCTCAATATTATTCAACAAGGCTCCTGCAAAGGCCACAAACCATTATACTTATTAAATGAGCCCAAAATTTCTGATTCATGTCATTTTTTGTGCTCAGTCCTCTGATTCCATGAGATAATTTGCAAGAAAACCATACCCAAATGCACTGATTGGTGCAAGATATCCAAATGTTTTGATATGATTGGTGCAAGATACAAACCCTAAAGTGGCGATCTGATTGGTGTGAGCAACAGCACCCTACATGTTGACATGGAGTGTTTTTTTTTTTTTTTTCAGAAAAAAAAAAAACCAAAAATGATGGACATATGCCTTTTGTTTTATCATCAAAAAGATGGTGACAGAGCATTATAATTACAGAAAAAAAGGTAATATACATATCATGTATAGTTTCAAAATTGCAACAATTTTGAGAGCTGGTGTATAATACTTATGAGTGCATACATTACACAAAAGTACCTTACCTTGGATGTTCAGCTGCCATAGCCTAAGAACAGTACCATCTACTACAAATGAATATATCCCTGAATCATGGACATCCACTTTCTTGATCTTCAACCAAAACTTCCTCTTATTCTTGTTGATTCCAAAAGATATCTTGTCTGTTCTTGAGATGAGGGAAGCGTTTTTCTCCCAATGTGACCTCTTCAATGCATTGTCAAAGTCAAGAACCTTTGATTTATATTTCAATTTTGCTGACTCCCCAATCACATAACTAACGTGGATAGACTTAGGGGGACTTTCCTGTAGAAAGAATGGAAAATGTAAATAGTAACTATTTGTGTCCATTTGACAGCCCATTTTATCATTATTTCCATAGTTTTACAATACATTTGAACCTCTGTTAAGCAGAACTACATTTAACAGTCACCTTGTAATAAGTAGTTGGTTTTCAAAGTGCCCAATTTCTTTCTATAAAGTGGCCACTTCTTTTAAGCAGGTTGTGGTCTCAATCATCATGCCAGTCCTTTGCAAATTAATAACAACCTAGAGGCTCAAATGTTTGATAATATTCCACCAACTACAGTAATTCTGGTGTAATAAATAAAAGATCAATTGCAGACAAAATGGTATTTTTTAATGTGTTTGACCCCTATTCTCTGAAACTTGTATAAATCTGCTAACTTGCAGAGAGACCTTCAAAGTATAATAAGACACCAAAGTACTATAGTAAAATGTTCAAACCCCTCAATTTGGTAACTTACTGCTTCATCTTGGGCATAAATGACACATGTTACCCAAAATAAAAAATCTCTCAACAACCTACCAACTTTAGAATGGAAATCAAAATTAGCTAAATTTACTTCATTTTCTTTATTTAATGTGAAAACACATTAAAATGTACCTTCACACTAGACATTTTACGATATAAATGGTTATTGCAAAAGTGAAGACCCCTGAAAACAAAGACCTAAGACCCTAAAAAGGCAAGTTGGACACAGGAAGTGTGCATCCCGATAAAAAACAGCTAAAAGCTTGGCAACTTCTCTGCTCACAATGTGATCATTTATCAGTTAAAATAAAAGCAAAATTACCTTCCATTACATGAAATGCTAAACCACAGATCACTCTATTTCCTTTAACTTTCCTATTTGTTGCTTTCTTAATTTTTTTTGGGAAACTCTAGTGCCCCTCAAAATTTCTAACCACCACCCCTGATGTCCTTATTCTAAAAAGAGAAGAGAGCTTGCCAATGTGAACTTTCGACCTGGCCGATACCAGTAAGTGTTGCAGCATTGCTCTCAGCCTTTTAACAGTGGAAGATAATTTCACGGCTGTAGCTTTAATTGCCAAGCTTTTGAAACTTTATTTTTCATCACCTTCTGAGTATTAACTCTTCTCAGTTGCAAGAAGACTGGAGAACTTAAGCAGAGATGTGACTAAGATGCAGACAGCAACCAGAAGAAGAAGAAAATTACTATAGTGTGCTTAGACATCAGTGGATTGACTGAAAGGCCTGCACTTTGGCATTTTAAGCTAATTTGTACTGACCAGAGAGGTATATTGAGCATTGGGAAGAATTCGCATTTGATCATATCCTTTGTCATTATTGATAGACAAAATAAGGGTCTACATTTTTGGTCTTCATCTTATAGGTCTTATGTCTTTATTTTTAGGGGTCTTTTTTTTCTCTACAACCCAAAGTAAACAGAGCCTTAGGGTCTCAACAACAGGATAAATATTTTTTGCCCCTGCAGTATGTGGTCAAACAGTTAAATATTAGATTAATTAACAACTAAAAGAAAAATGCTCTGTAACAATAAAAGTGATATATGTGAAAACAACAATGGCCTCTAAAGAGCCAGGATATAGTGAGAAACGTAGGTGGTAATTTGATGTGGAATAACATTTACAAGGTATCTACCAATTTTATTCAGTTACACTTTCATTGTTGCAATTTTCAACCATTCAATGCCAAGTGTAGAAAGGGCATCCAAGGTCCAAAACCTATACCCTTCTTAAGACACATAAGTTGATCAACATGTGGTGCTGACATGTCCATCATGTGGTTAAAGATATGGTAGACCTTCAAGAGCCAATTTTTTTCTGAAATTTTCTTTTTACAGCAAACTAAGCATTATCATTTTAACTATTATTTCCACAAAAAGAAATTGGTAAAATATTGAAACACACACTAGTTATTTTTGAACTGAACTTTTTTGCCTGCCAAAGTGTCATGCTATGTCAACATAAATAACTCCTGAAGGGTTTCTTGCAGCAAAACGTGCTGATCCCTGAATTCCAAACATATAAACATCCCCTGGAAATTTTACACTGAATGGCAAAAGAATCTCACCAAACAGATAAAGGCCCGTGGTTTAGGCAATCTTTGCTGCTCACTCTTGTTAAGCAACCACTTAGTTTTGCCGCAACATGCTTTAGACACTTTTAAGTTGTAAAAAAGAGTTGGAATCAAAATTGCAGTTCAGTTTAACTGTTAGATTGTAATACCTGCAAAGTATGTTTTTGCTGAGAGTCTTCTTTAGACTCTGCAGGACACTTTTGTGTTTCTATTGGCAGTCAGCATTTGGAGTTTTTTCAGAGGCGACATAACCTGACATCTTGTCGCCCAAAGGCATGAGTTGATGAAAAAACTTTGGAAGAAAAAAAATCCTACTTCACAAATAGACCCTCTTCAGACAAATTAAGAGGGTATATCAACTGTACAGATTGCTTGAAATTATGTTTGAAGACTCCCAAGATACCAACCTAAAAACTGTGTGCGAGAATTCAGTTTTTTAAAATGGATCTACCGCAATGACTTCCAACGTAATACACATCAGTAAAATTTTGATTAGCAAGCTTGACACATAAATTGCGAAGTGACCAATAAGAAAAAGAAATCCCCACAAAGTTTTGAAAACCAACCCCTCAGGATTGAAATTGTGCAGAAATTTTATTTGTGCGGTCAGATTCAACATGAGATTATTTTCCTCAAAGAAACATTGCCTATTTTGAATTTTCACACCCCATTCATTTTAGAAATAGACCAAGCTAAAACAAAACTTTTTTTGCAGAATGGTGCACTTCATAACCTTTCCATTAATATATAGTTTATGGTGGCTATACTTCAAATAGCACATTAAAAATTTTTTTACCAAGGACACCTGCAAAGGTCTACACTATACCTTAATACACAGAGAAAATAGAATGCTCTAAGTAGTCTAGGCTTTGGGTGTTGTAAGTTCCATAAATGGTCTTGAAAGTCTGCTCTGTCCCTCCATTTTTTCTTGAGTGTATTTAGTATGTAAACTTGTTATGACAAGAAATAGGTGTTGAAAAAACCCTGTATCCCCTCTTCTGGACCCCTTTCCGGATACCCCTATATGGACACCCATATATATGGACTCCACAAGTTCATCTCCTTTGCTTCCAATTATAAATGAATCAAATGTAATCAAATGCCATTTTATGAACAAAATGATTTTATCTCCATTAAAACACAGCAAAATTTTCTTGTCTGACCAATTACTGGACCACATCAAATTTAGAAAGATATAAGTAAGGCAATTAAAGGAGAGAAAAGTCAATCAGATGAACATTCAATTAAGTTTGCCATAATGAAGAATGTTAAAGAACTGTTTCATTCAGTCATGTTAAACTTATCAAAAGTAGTAAGATATCCCATTTGAAATTCTGCCTCCACACTCAACAGTATCCATGTTTGTTTGTTTTTTTTTTTAACCAAATATCAAGTTTTAACATGTTTTTAAGCCAACAACAGCCTCTACTACAACATGACCTCTGATAATACTATTTTTAGGTTGTGCACCAACTCAATTATGGTTCACTAAAGTGTTCTCGATGTGATCCCCAGAATTCCCCTAAAAAAGGCCTTGTTAATCCCAAGAACCCACCACATTTTATGCCTCATTTACAATTTTATACTCAATTCTGAGGGAAATTGTGGTTTTTCACAAAGAAAAAAGATTAAATCAAGTCACTCTTCAGGTTATATCTTGCAAGAGGAAAGTGAGAGGCTAAACAGAGTTCTAAAATAAGACACCTCTTTCAGATTTGAGGTAGTTTTCAATCAGAATGGAAATGGCTGCACAGAGATAAGAGATTTCTCTTTGAGTCTTGATACCCAATGAGTGCAACATGAGAGGAGAAATTTTGTACAAGCAGACATGTAATATTCTATTTATTATTTAATCACCAATGAAAAAGCAAACCCTTTCACTCTTGCTACAAAAGGTGCAATTTATTATGTAATCATAGTACTGGCATTATTTTAAAGTGTGGAGATAACATGTTATTTTCACATGTGAAGAAATAAAATTTTCATGTTAAAGCTAACCTGGTATTTCATTGGTGTTTAATATAATAAACAGATTTACTTTAGGAAGTTCTTCTGGAATGATTCATAGCACATGTCTCCTTAGTGAGGATGCATGTACACAAGAAAGAAATATTTCCAATGGATTCATAAGAAAAAATATCTCTGACAGAAACCTCTGCTTATATTAATGGAGAATGCACAGCAAGAAGCTTGAATTCACAAGATGGTCGAGACTGCTCTGTAAATGGCCGTTGTCCAATCGTTTATCGAAATTGTATTTTAATTCTATTCTGTCTCTTGAATAGGTAAAATCATGTGTTGATGAATTTGAAATAATCAGAGAGGTAGAATCTGAATTCTACCCATGCCACGATACCTTACATCTACATATCAAACCGGAAAAACCAACATCAACAGAGCATTCGAAGTTGGACT